GGACTGGATGGGCCATTGGCTTGATCCAACATGGCTTCTCTTCTGTTCTTAACCAGGGTCAGTTGCAGAGGAGCCCAAGTTCCTCACTGTCTAGCTTTGTATCCATTTTTTTCTTTCTGTTCTTATGGTCTGGGGCAGTGATGCTCTGTATTCTTGGTGTGTGGGAGGCAACAGTGGGAGGGTTTCTGGAGTTCTGGCCTTTCTCTGTACTCTTGGTGCTTGGGGGGCAACAGCAGGAGGGCTTCTCAGGTTCTGGCCCTGCTGGTGGGGTCCTGAGCCCAAGACAGTGCCCACCAACACCTTTCCTGGTGCCTGCCAATTGCTCTTAGAAAGTGGTGGGTCCACTTTCTTATCAGAAAGCCCTGCTTTTTGCCCAGCTGGGCTTTGTATTGGCCACTGGACATCTGATTTGCCATACAGATTTTTTTCTTCATTGTATGGGTCGTCAGCCTTTTGGAGCCTGTAGACACCTTTTAAATTCTGACACAGGGTGGTGGGTGCAACTGCAAAATGGCTGCTTCAGGAGGCGTGGCCAGCAACAAAATGACTGCTATGGGAAGCGGAGCCAACCACAAATGTCAGGAAGTGAGGTTATACATACCCAATAATAACTCGTCAACAACATAGGGTTGCCAGGTCTGGGTTGGAAAATACCTGGAGACTTTGGGGGTGGATCCAGGAGAGGGTGGGGTTTGGGGAGGGAAGGGGCCTCAGCAGGGTACCATGCCACAGACTCCACCCTTCAAAGCAGCCATTTTCTCCAGGGGAGCTGATCTCCGTCAGCTGGAAATCAGTTGTAAAAGCGGAAGATCCCCAGGCCCCACCCGGAGGCTGGCAGCCCTACCTCAGCACTGCAGGCAGAATATTTTTTGCAAAAAGACAAGAACGAAGTTCGAGTGCAGGGGCACCTTTAAGACCAACAAAGTTTCATTCAAGGTATAAGCTTTCATTTGCCAGCACATTTCTTCAGATACAGAAGTGTGGTTGCACATGAAAGCTGATACCCAGAATTAAACTTGGTTGGTCTTAATGGTGCCCCACTGGACTCCAACTTTGTTCCGCTGCTTCAGACCAACGTGGCAACCCAGCTGGATTTATTTTGCGTACACACAGTTTACCTTCCGTCACACAGTGAAGATCCTTATGCTATGGTGGTAAGCTTTCCAGATTAAGGAAAATTCTGATTTGGGTACTTTTCTAGTATGCAGTTCCCCAAGTCTCCATGCTGAGGTGGCAAATTCTTTGGCTGAACTCCAAGAGCTCTGCACTGTTGCCTTATTGGGAAACACAAGTAAGGGGGGGGGGCGTCCCAGCTGAGCTTTATGTGGGTGTAAGGTTGGAACAGTGAGACATGAGCTCAGGCTCACAACAGTTTATGCTTGAATAAATGTTATAATCTTTAAGGTGCCACTGGTCTCCTGTTTAATTTTGCTACAGCAGACTAACACAGCTATCATGCTGGACCTACAGTTTATTCATTTGTTTATTTTACTTAATTTATACCCCACCTTTCCTACCCAATAAGGTCCCAAAGCAGATTATGCTGTTCTGTTTTCGTCCATTTTATCCTCACAACAACCCTGTGAGGTATGTTAAGGGTAAGAGCCTGTCACTGGCCCACGGTCATGCAGCAAGCTTCCATGGCAGATTGGGAATTCGAACCCTGCTTTCCTAAATCCTTGGCCCGCACTCTTAGCTGCTACTCCATACTGGCTGTCCATATGAGGAAGCTTTCCAGTTGCCAGTTAAGCCAAAACTAAAATATTTGTGCCAGCTAACTGACCCACAGTAAAGCACATATATGCATTCCATGGAGGCAAGCTTTTAATGCCCTGTTTGTACCATCCCAAAAATGTGATGTTGTTTATTTCTGCTCCATAGAGATGCATGTCATATGATCTTCCGAAACAGCCCCTGATGGCGTTTTCGTGATGAGTCTATATTTGCCCGAGGGAAAGGAAGGCATGTGGCTAAGTTGGAAGGCAGAATTAACATGTTTTAACAGCTGGCAAAGAAAGGAAGAGCTTTATGGGGTGAGGAAGAAAGGGAGGCGGGAGCGTTTAGGATGAGGTCAAATATCGGAGGGCAGCAGGAAGAGGGGGAGTCGCTTAGTGGTGATAGATCATGTGCTTTGCATGCCGAAGGTGCAGGTTGACTCTGGAGCATCTCGCTTTAAGGGGTCTTCAGTGGCAGGACTGGGAACGGCCCCTCATAGCCTGAGACCTGGGAGAGCTGCTGCTAGTGAGAGGAGAAGAGCTGGACTAGAGGGACAAAGGTTTGCTTAACAAAACAACAACTGGGCAGTACCAGAACGACTTTTCGTCATGGGCTCTTGTGACTGGACACTGCAGTGCTTCTAGAACTGAAGTGGTCGCAGTGAGCTCCTCGCCTCAAGGATGATCTCGTGCAATGTGCATGCCTGGGGCCGGACGAGCGCCAATCCCATTCGGTTCTCACCTCTTTTGACAGCATGTAATGACCATCTTGTGGAAAATCTTTTTTTTTAATAAATAACATTTTATTTTTACTTGAGACAAACAAACATACACAAATCGGGGGGTTCCATTTCATCACTAAAGTATCTAGTTATATATCTCATACAATATATAAATATCTATTTTCTATATTCCACCTTATTTTTATGTATATTCTTTTGCAATTGGTTTAAAATAAAATTCCTGTTCCTTTCAAATTGGTTATATGTCAGTCTAATTTATAAGATCTTGAAAAATTGTATAGTCTCTCTTGTCCAAAAGGTGTTGACCTTCTTCTCTTAAAAGTATGTGTAGTCTCACATATCTGGAAAGTTTTAACCTTTTTTGTGGGATTTCATCCTCTTCTTCATTCTCTGGTTTCTCCTCTTAAGTTTTAAAGTCTTAATTCTGTGTCTTTTCCCCTTGTATGTAAGGAAAATAGCTTCTGGAAGTAGCCCTCTATATTCAATTCTTTGGATGGTTTGAGGTTCCATATATTCTTTACTTTTTACTCTCTCTGAAGGAAAATTTCATTTGCTGCTG